TATATTAGTGGTAAATCCAGAAACTTAGTCACATAGAATATTGTTGCCCACACCTCAATCCAATTGCCAACATAAATTTTTCTCACTAGTACTGAGCTAAGAAACCACAAATTTATGGCTGACAGTGGTGGCTCAAGTCTGTAATTCCAGCACTTTGGGAGGCCAAGGTGAGATTTCCTGAGCACATGGGTTCAAGAACAACCTGGGCAATGTGTCAAGACCTCATCTCTACAATAAATCAACAAATTAGCTGGGTGTGGTATCATGCAGCTGTAGATCTGGCTACATGAAATGCTGAGAGGAAAGAATTGTCTGACCTCAGCAGGTTGAGCCCGGGGTTGCTTGGACAACAAAGTGAGATTCCAACTCAAAAAACCCCCCACAAATTTAAAATTCTATCTAAATGTTCTAAAGGTTCTATTGTGAAACAGTATTTGGGGATTAATTTTCTAGAATCTTGTATGATGTGTTCTCTACTCAGCACAATACTAGGTTTGTAATCAAAGAATCCCAGCAATGGTCATGTTACTTTTTTCTAATAAAACAGGACTTGCTGTCTCTACTCCAGATCTGGTCACGTGACTAGAACAAAGAAAAGAGCCCTGGTATGTGAAGAGACTCAGTATGTCAGCCAAACCTCCAGGTAGATTGGAGTGAATGAAGCAGATGACACAGGTTGAAGAAGCAGAGCTTGAAATGTGGTTTGGGAAGGTGGTCTGCTCCAGGGGAAGTGGTTTCTGGGAAGTCTTTCTGAGATTCTTTCTCTTTTGTTACACAAAGGGACATCTATTATTCCATGTTCTGAAATTCTCCAAAATCTCTGCTGCTGCTTCAGTGTTCTCATTTCAAGATTTCAGAGGAAATCAAAGTCTACTTAATGGTTTGTTAGGATCTACCTTGTCTGACTACCTTTCTGATACTTTTAGAGATATGCAAATATCATCTGCTTATTTCATTAGAAAATCTATGTCAAACTACTTTTTAAGTTTTCTTTTTGCATCATGTTGGAAATATGTGAGTAGTGATTTTGTTTGATAGAGAAATGTTAAGAACCCCAGAAAGATGTTATATGCTTTCTATTTTATGATTTTCTATCCTAGGGAAGTTTCCAACGTGACTTTATTCAAATTCATACTCTATAATTCTACCAGGATATAAACTCTCTCTCTCAATAAAAGAAATTCTGTTATTGTACTTAAGTTTTCTTTTTTAGTATGAACTGAGATTGGTAGTTTATTTCTATATATCCAAATTCTTAAGTATACTATATCACATAGAGCATTGGTAAACATATTAAACTCCCAGATGTTACCTTGTTTCTTAATAACTCTTATTTTATAACTCTTGTTTCATATAAAGATTAGGACTAGTCTACATATATATGTACACCCATTTTCGTGTGTTTTTGATGTCATTAACATCTTATTTTTATACACAAATAAGAAATGTATAGCCATATGCTGGTTAGTTGTGTATAATGTAATTATTTGATATGCCTCTACATTGTGAAACGATTATTACAATTATGCTAATGAACATAGCAAACTGAGCCACCAAGCCTGGTCACCTTATTTCTTAATAACACTTATGTTATAATTTTCTTTTGCTTAATATGAAAATTAGGACTAGTCTACATATATGTATATATATGTACATGCATGTACATATGTTAATGTGTCATTAACATCTGAGTTTTCATATGTAAATAAGAAATGTGTAACTACATGTTGTGTATAATGTAATAATTTGATATGCCTATACATTGTTAAACGATGATTACAATTATGCTAATGAACATATTAATAAGCTTTCAAGTTGTCATTTCTATGTTGTGTAAGAAGAACACACAATGGCTGTTATTTTAGCAAATTTTCTAAGCATACAGGACATTATTCTTTTTTTTTTTTGAGTCGGAGTCTCACTCTGTTACCCAGACTGGAGTGCAGTGGCCGCTCCCAGCCACCACAGCCTCGACCTGCTGGGTTCTAGCGATCCTTCCGCCTCAGCCTTCCGAGTAGCTGAAACTACAGGTGCGCGCTACCACATCAGGCTCATTTTGATTTATTGTAGAGATGAGGTCTCACCAAGTCGCCCAGGCGGGTCCCAAACCCACAGGCTCAGGCAATCCACTCACCTCAGCCTCCCAAAGGCACAGAATTACAGGCTGAGCCACCAAGCCCGGCCTGGGCATTATTCTTAACTAGAAGTCACCATATTATACATTAGTTCCCTAAAACTCTGTGATAATTAAAATTTTATAACTATTGAAGAACATCTCCCATTTTCCCCCCTCTAGTCCCTGGTGACCACCATTGTACTTTCTTCCTCTATGAGTGCAATCAATCTTTTTTGATTCCACACATAAGTGAGATCACGCAGTATTTTTTTCCCCCTAGTTGGAGTCTCACTGTCACCCAGGCAGGAGTGCAGTGGCATGGTAATGGCCACTGCTGACATGATCTGCTGGACTAAGGTGATCCTTTTGCCTCAGTCTTCCAAGTAGCTGGAAATACTGGTGTGCACTACCATGCCCAAATTATTTTTTATTGTACATACAAGGTCTCACCAAGTTGCCCAGTATGGGCTTGCACCCCTGAGCCCAGGAAATCCTCTTGACACCTCCCAAGTACTGGGATTACAGGTTTGAGCCACTGCACTGGCCTCATACAGTATTTTTGTGTGTGTGCCTGGTTCATTTCACTTAGCATAATGTCTTACAGTTTCATCCATAAGGTTGAAATTACAGGATTCTTTATCTTTTTTATGGCTGAATGATATGCTATTATGTATATTATATTTTCCTAATCAACACAGAATCCACAAATAATATGGTAGAAAAATCTTACAAATATGAAAAATGCGACAGTCTTTCACTTACATGCAGGACTTGATCAGCATATCAAGGTCCTTACTGGAAGCAAACACTACAAATGTAAAAAATGTGGCAAAAATTGACTCAGACCATCCACTTACCTTGGGCTCCCAAATCGGTCATCCTTCCACTTCAGCCTTCCAAGCAGCTGGAACTACAGGCATGTAATACCATGTTTGGCTACTTTAAAAAATTTTTTTTATTGTAGAAACGTGGTTTCACCATGTTGCTCAGGCTGTTCTTGAACCTGTGGCTCAGTCAATTATCTCACCTCCACCTTCAAAAGTGCTGACATTACAGGTATGCCTTAGAGCACCTGGCTAATTTCAGTCTTCTTTAACATCCTATGACTTGTTTTGTGTTCTGATATGTTGAACTGAATATGCAGTATATGATGGTGTTGATTAGAGAGTTCTGTGAAAGACTTTCACTCACTCTAAATTTTCCCTAGTGTTGTTTATTTTATATATATATATATTTGAGTTGGAGTCTCACTCTGTCACTCAGACTGGAGTGCAGTGGCCGCTCCCGGCCACCGCAGCCTCAACCTGCTGTGCTCCGGCAATCCTTCCGCCTCAGCCTTCTGAGTAGCTGGAACTACAGGTGTGTGCTACCACACCTGGCTCATTTTGATTTATTGTAGAGATGAGGTCTCACCAAGTTGCGCCCAGGCGGGTCTCGAACCCATGGGCTCAGGCAATCACTCACCTCAACCTCCCAAAGGCACGGGATTACAGGCTGAGCCACAGAGCCCAACCCTAGTGTTGTTTAAATTCTCTAAATTCACATCGATCTTTTATCTGAAATTTCAAGTCATTATTGAAAGTAAGATATTCAATTATTTCACTGTTACCATGCTACTGTGTATTTTTTGCTTTATTTTGACAACATTTGGGAACTGTGATATCAGTTCTATACACATTTGTACCTGCTATTGATTGCAAATAAATAGACTTTTTAATCATTGTGTAACATCATTCTTTGCTTTTTGTGAGAGTATTTGTTTTTTGAGTCAGTCTCACTGTGTCACCCAGACGAGAGTACAGTGGTATGCAACCTTGGCTTCCTGGGTTCAAGCAATCATTCCCCCTGAGTCTTCCAAGTAGCTGGAATTACAGGCACACACCACCATGCTCAGCTAATTTTTTAAAATTATTATAGAGACATGGCCTCTTCGATTTGTCCACACTGGTCTTGAACACCTGAGTTCAGGCTCTTCTCTTTCTTCCACCTTCGAAACAAGTGACAATTTTTTACTTAATGATTCTGTCTAATAAAATGTTACAACCGTGATTTTTTGGTATTATCTGCATAGAATACAGTAATTTCTGTACATACGAGCCTTTAAGTTGCAATTTTTCAAAAATGTGAATGTGTGTTCCCTTGTTCAATCATGTGAACAATTTTGTGTGCTTGTTTTACTTTCTTTTTTGTTTGTTTTGGATGTATCATCTTATAAACAGCCTTATAAAACTGTTACACAATAGTATATAGTCGACTGTGTAAGTTGATACCATGGCTAACTTTGTTGAATGCAGTCTCAAAATGAAATTTGTTTGTATGGAGGGAACATACTGTATCTTTTTCCATCCTATTTCTTTCAGGCTGTTTGACATCTTATGGCTAAAGTAAATCGCTTAAAGCTGGTAGATTGTTAGATCATTATGTTTGTTAATTCATCATTAATTTTTAGTTATTAAGGCATTTAATGGTTTGCATTTAAAATAATTGCTGATAGGGAAAGAGTTACTGAAAGGACTGACCGAGAGCTGGAAGTCATTTTTTTTAGTATTGTTCTTAAACTCTAACACAATGATAGGTAAGTGGAGGCTATGTCCTGGAGAGATGCATCATTTTTAAAATCTTGTTCCTAAGCCTTAACACAATGATGAGAAAGTAGAAACTGTGTCCTGGAGAAATACATACTGTAGATAAAGATTAACTTTACTGATTTTATCTTCTCAGAAACACAGACTCCTTAAGCATGACCAGTTCTGGCATATTGTAATTGGTCTTTTTGGAAACCCAGACTTCTTAAGCATGACCAGTATCAATCCATTGTATACTCAGTGCACGGTGACCAGGACCCCCCTGAGGGTTTTCTGTCCAGGCTTCCTGGTGCCAGGCATCAGAGGTATCTAATAGCTTTTATCAGCAGGGCCTGGCAGAAGCAGCAGTCAAGCTTCCCTAGAGTAAAGGGAGTTTACAAGGCCTAAGACATCATGCATCGGGCAAGAACTGTGCAAGTCACAAAACTTGTGAATGTAAAAGTTATGCAGATTGCAAGACTTGTGACAACTCAGAAGGGGAAGCAGGTGGGGATTCAATCTTCCAGTAGATTGGGTGTTGTCTACAGAGAAGTCAAGGATACCCCGAAGCTATGCACTGGGAATGCATAAAAGATAAGGGGTAGTGCACCTTCCATTACATCTAGGGAATGTTGTTTAGGAATATACAGGAGCATTGGGATCCTTATCATTCCCTTCTCTAGGGCCTGTGATAATGTGGGCGGACATTAGTGAGCCTCTGTGTTCCAGGGTCTCCAAGACATTCACAGGTGGTCAATAGGGAAGGCACGGCACACATGTCTACCTGACTGCAACACCTCCAAGGGAGAGGATTTAAGCTGGGGCTCAAGGGACTATGAGGTCACACTCATCTAGAGCGTAGGCCCACTTCCTGTCTGTGGGAAGTGAACCTTTCTTAATGAAATCTTTTCTTTCACCAAGTTGTGTGTTGCAATTTTTTGCATTACTCGGATCTCTGGTTGCCAGCTAGCACCTCTGGCACACTGACTCTGGCAGTGATGCACCCCTCTCCACCCATTCACCCTCACCCTATCTTTACCCTATTACTTACTGTTGTCATTTTTCATTGTTTTCTGGGTTTTCCTGGACCTATGTTGCCCTTCCTTTTTCTCACTGCTTTCTTTGTGTTTTCATGAACTGTTATTTTGGTGGTGACATGCCTGATTAGTATTTTATTACCTTTTGAGTACCTTCTATGTGTATTTTCCCTGATTCCTGTGACAATTGGAGAGTGTATAACACATAGTAAAGTTGCACCAATACATCTTATTATCATAACAAGTTTGCCAGGTCCAGTGGCTCATGCCTGTAATCCCATCAACTTTAGGAGGCAGTGGTGAGAGAACTGCCTGACTTCTGGGGTTTGAGACCAACATGGGCAACACAGCAAGATCTAGTCTCTACAATGAATCAAAAAGTTACCAGTGTGTATGTGTCAGTAGTTTAGGCTACTTGGAAGGCTGAGGTTGGAGGATCTCCTGTGCCCAGGAGGTAGAGGCTGTGGAGGTTGTGAGCATGCCACTGCACTCCACCTGGCAGACAGAGTGAGACTCCAACTCAATAAATAAATAAATAAATAAATAAATAAATATGTATATAAATAAATGCTTATTTCTTGAAATTTTCTCATCAAATATTTTTATAAGTAATAAAATTCATTGTTTTCTTAAATGTCACTAATCTAATTACATGCTAATGATTCATATGTCTGCTTTTCATGGAAGCCCAACCAAAGTTGAAAATTGTAGTTATAGCCAGGCTGGGTGGCTCAGCCTGTAATCCCATGCTTTGGGAGGCTGAGGTGAGTAGATTACCTGAGCCCGTAGGTTCAAGACCCACCTGGGCAACTTGGTGAGACCTCATCTCTACAACAAATCAAAAAATCAGCCAGGCATGGTAGTGTGCACCTGTAGTTCCAACTACTTGGAAGGCTGAGGTGGAAGGATCACTGGAGCCCAGCAGGTCGAGGCTGCAGTGGCCGTGAGTGGCCACTGCACTCCAGTCTGGGTGACAGAGTGAGACTCTAACTCAAAAAAAAAAAAAAAAAAGAAAACTGTAGTTATGTAAAAGATTCTGTTGAAGCAGTGCAACTATGTTTATCTATGATTTTATGGGTTACAGTTTCTCATTATTTTTCTTTTATCTACAACTTCATATTTTGTGTTCATGTAGCATTCTTTCTTCACATCAGATAATTATTGTGCTAAGCGACACGAACCAGGCACACAATGAAAAATACTGTATGCAGGAAATCAAAAATCATTAGATTCATAGAAGGAGAAAGTACAATGGTGGTCACCAGGACCCACAGATGGGGAAACTGGGCGATGTTGTTCATTGGTTACAAAACTTTACTTATAAGTGTATACCATTGTGACTATAGTTAAAAATAATGTCTTATATGATTTGAAAATGTGCTAAAATTGAAGAAATTGTGTTGTTATTACAAAAAATAAAAATGGCAACTACTTAAGGTGATTGACATGCTCATTAACTTGATTGTAATCATTGTTTCACCACATATTGACATATCAACTCATTATATTTTATACAAGAAATAAGTGGTTATACAAATTTTGTTTCTGTTAAGTAACCCACATGTTAAATACACATACAAAAATACATGTATCTGAATGTATGTGAATTTCTTCCATCTAGAGTGATGTTTTGCTTTCTGGTAAAATTATGGAGTATGAATTTATTTATTTATTTAGAGTTGGATTCTCTCTGTTGCCCAGGCTAGAGTGCAGAGGTACACTCACAACCACCAAAACCTCAACCTGCTAATCTCAGCTTTCTAAATAGCTAGAACTACAGTCACACACCACCACACTTGGCTAATTTTTCTTAATTTATTGTAAAGATAAGGTCTGACCAACTTGCCCAGGCTGGTTTCAAACTCCTGGACTCAGTCAATGCTCTTCACTCTCCCTCCCAAAGTGCTGGGATTGCTGCATGAGCCACCAGCCTGGTTTGGAGTTTGAATTTCTATGGAATCATGTTTGAAAATTCCCTAGTTTAGGAAATCACAAAACAGAAAATATAAAACATCTGTTCACAATGTTCTTTGGATTTCAGAGTCAGATAAGAGAGTCACCACCATTTCCAACATAATGCAAAGAGGAAACCTAAAAAATAGTTTAACATGAAGTTTGTAAATAAATGAGGAGATATTTTCATGTGCCCCAACCATGCAAGCCTGACCATGCAGTCCCTTATAAGCCATAAGAAAATAGTGATGGCCAGGCTCAGTGGCTCAGCCTGTAATTCCAGCACTTCGGGAGGCCAAGGCAAGAGGATTGCCTGAGCCCACAGGTTTGAAACCCACCTGAGCAACTTTGTGAGACCTCATCTCTACAATAAGTCAAAGTGTAGCCAGGCATGGTAGTGTGTGCATGTAGTTCCAGCTACTTGGAAGGCTGAGGAGAAAGAATCACCAGAACACATCAGGTCGAGGCGGAGGTGGCTGGGAGCATGCCACTGCACTCCAGTCTAGGTGACAGAGTGAGACTCCAACTCAAAAAATAAAAAAAAGAGAATGGTGATTTTCACTGTAACCTTGAAGAAAAGTCACCAAAGTAAAACAAGAGTTTCTGGAACAATAGATGTCCTTTTGTGAGATAAAAAAATCGGAGGCTTCTCAGAACAATTTCCATAGGAGCAGACCACCTTCTCAAACCTCATTTGAAGTTCTGCTTCCACCTTGACCTGTTATCTGCTCTATGCACGTACACCTACCTGGGAGTCTGGTTATTTCACTGTGTCTCTTCACATTCCAGGGCTCCTTAATTTGCTCCAGACAGGTGATCAGGTCCAGTGTAGAGACAGCAAGTCCAGTTTATTAGAAAAAACAACATGACTCTTGCTGGGATTCTCCTTTTACAATCCTAGTACTGTGCTCACAAAAGAGTACACTATACAAGATTCTAGAAAATTAATCCCCAAATATTTTTCTTCAACAGAACCTTTAGAACACATCAGAAGAATTTGAAATTCAGAGGTCCTTTGCTCAGTTGTAGCAAACCAAAAGTAGATGGCAGCTATTGGGTTTTAAGTTGTGGGCAACAATATTTCATGCCCACAAATTTCTGGACTTAACAGTAATATAATGTGAAGGACACAGATCATTTCATCATTCATAATAGGGAACGGTTCAAGTAAAAATGAAACATCATCAATTCTTTCTTATCTACGCCAAGATATCACAAAGCTTTCATTGAAAGCAGGAATCTGAAACTCATTTGTGCAAAGAAGAAACTCAAAAAGTTTCTTCTACAAAACAACACAAAATCCTTGGTGTGGAATATAAATTGTTTCTTGAGATTATCTTCACCCAGAAACACTAGATTCCTAAGGTTCTCTAACATCATCTTCTTGTACAAAATCTGTTGAGCAAGATCTAGGTTTTCCCACTCTTCTGGAGAGAATTCTATGGCCACATCCTGAATGTCAACAGCCCCTGAAAATGACACATATTTATCAAGTGGCCATGGGATCTAGGTGAAATGAGAGTGAAGAGAACAGATTTTGACTGATATGACAACTGAAATTATCCAAAAAGACAATTTTAACACAGAAATAATCTCTAATGAAGTAAGTCTGAGTCATAAGAATGGAATAAAATCCACTCAGATAGTGTAGATACTTTACTTTTCTGAGTAATACAGTACAAAATTTGGGTACCAACACAGGCATGTGCATTTTTTAGTGCCATATTTACATCACACAGAATAATTGTAATATTGGTAGGACAGAAAATTCATAGTCAGTTAGAAGATCCTCATCAAGTTTAAATGTGTACATCAATGAATCTTGTTAAAATGCAGCTTCTGACTCACGCGATCTGGGGTAAACCTAAGTTTCCGCATTTTTTTTTTTTGAGTTGGATTCTCACTCTGTCACAGTCTGGAGTACTGTGGCACACACCCAGGCACTGTAGCCTTAGCCTGCTGGGATCTGGTGATCCTTCTGCCTCAGCCTTCCAAGTAGCCAGAACTATAGGCACGTGCTACTATACCTGACTAATTTTTTATTTATTGTAGAGATGAGGTCTCACCAAGTTGCCCAGGCAGGTCTCAAACCCACGGGCTCAGGTAAACCATTCACCTCAGCCTCCCAAAGTGCTGGGATTACAGGCTAAGCCACCAAGCCCAGTTAGTTTCTGCATTTTTCTTTCACTTGGGGTGGTCTTAATTTGTGCCCATTCTGGAGTGCAGTGGTGTAATCACAGCTCATTGTAGCCTTGGCCTCTGGGACTGAAAGGATCCACCCTTCTCAGTCTCCCAAATAGCTTGTACAAATTGGTGTCAGGTGCCAAGACACATAACACAACATCAGGGCTGAAAAATGATTATTATTATTTTGAGTTGGAGTCTCACTTGTCACCCAGACTGGAGTGCAGTGGCACACTCTTGGCCACCGCAGTCTTGTCTTGATGGGCTCCAGTGATCCTTCTGCCTCAGCCTTCCAAGTAACTGGAAAAATTATTAAATAAAAGGTTTGTAAACTATAATCTGAATCTAATAATAAAGAAAGAAATGTTTTGCGCAGAATTCTAGCAATAGGTATCTTCCAAGTTTTGTAACTCCCCAAAGTGCATTGATATAGTTTTTTTTTTAGCATCCTAGAGAGCAAGTCTCTTCTAATTATTTATTTCAACATTCCTAAGTTATTCTAAGCAGTAACTGCCACCCTACTTAAATGTGCGTATTATTCTTGTTCTGCATGGAGCGGATGGAGGATCCAGATGGAACCATAATAGTACTTGTTTCCATCCTTCACTAGGATCTGAGGATCTACCCATCTTCAATAGGAATCTTGGGTATCTGAGCCTTTCCATGTTTCACAGCCTCAAGGGAACATGTTTAATACTGCAGGTCATAAACTCATGGTGAGAACTGAGCATGGCAACTATGAAGCCTGAAAAAGTTAACAAAGAGAAGGCACTGGCACATAGGAAAAAATATTTTCTCAAAGTCCTTGAATATTACACGAAGAACAAAAACCAGTTAGACTCATTAGGCAGGGCCATCACAAGTGGCAGTAGAGGTTTATAAGTTCTAAAATCATGACTTTCCAATAGGAATAGGGACACTGTCCCTGAACTGGGACACACTTACCTGGGAATCAGCCATTTTTGCCTGTTCCTCCTCCTTCTCCGGCATTTCTTTTAGGTGACAGTGTCTGGAAAAATCAAATCTACTTGTTGAAAATATGACTTTTAAAAAAAAATTCAATTAAAAGTATTTTATGAGTCTGAGTCTCACTCCATCACCGAGGCAGGAATGAAGTGGCACCATCACAGCTTATCACAACCTTGACCAGAGCTCAAAGGATTTCTCCATCTCAGTATCCCAAGCAGGAGAAACTACAGACATGTGCGACCACTCTCAGCTACGTCATTTCAGCTTTTTTAGCTACATGGATATACTATTTTGTTCAGGTTGGTCTCAAATGCCTGGGCTCAAGCAATCCTCTCTCCTGTCTCTCCCCCCATCCCTGACCTGGATAAAAAACGAAAAAGCCCCCACGATCCAAAAGGAATCTTTAGGAAACCGGTCCCTCGTCTTCTCGGTCTTAATGGCTTCCCCAAATAACCTCACAGGCCCTGCTTCAACACTTTGTCTTGACTTTGGCTGTCTCGCCAAGCAAAACAGGATTTGCACCTGGTGACACCAACACTCAATGACCCTGATGACATACCCTGGGGACTTTCACCTTGATTTTCTCCTTCTCAAAGCCTTTCCTTCCAGGCCTTCTGGGGACTCCACACCACAAGCCCTGACAGGGGCTTAGGGATTCACTATCCGCTGTTGGCTGAAGGGGACTCCTTAGCGCTGTGACAGAGGCTCCCTTTAGCCTTGGGAAGGAGAGAGGAATTGGGCCAGGACCACAGCCCCTCCCCCATTGGTCAAATTTACCCCCCATGACCCTCCCCGGTCCCGCACATCTGGAGAGCGGGATTGTCTGGTAAAGCCTTCGCTGAGCGAGGTCGCTGCAGGGACAGGACCCTGGGGACCAGTCCAGCCCCACCCTGCGCCAATGAGACCGAACCGAGCTGCCGGTGGGGTGGCGTGCAGGCTCGGAGGTGACAGAAAGGCCAGTCCCGCCACAGCTGTTTCCTCCGTGTCCATTCGTCCTCCCCTTCTCGCACCCGCCCCCACACCCACCATCTCCCGGCTTTCGGATGTCCCAGCGTCCACCCTATGGACTCCCAGAACAAGCAGGTCACAGGGCGACAAAGGCTGAAGTAAGTACCGTGGTTTTCTTGGAGATGACCCACCATTTCCAGAGCGCCGGATACAAAAAGCCTGCTCAGCAACTGGAAGCCCCTTCCTTACTTCAGGCAACTCTCTCATTGGACAGTTTCCAAGTCATCATCCGCTGATTGGATAAGGCTCCAGACCCCGCCCCCATCTTGAGTGACAGGAGATGTGATCAAATGGGGCCACAGAGTACAAGAAAGAGACATGTCTCCTTACACCTTCTAAAAAGGGAATAAGCTTAGAGTTAAGGTATGCCAGAAAAGACTTTCATTTCACAGAGATCTGTCTGATTTGGCATTTTTTTTCACAGAATATATTTCATCTATAATTAGAAAAAGAAAAAAGTGTTTTCGTAGAGGGTTGACATGTCCCGCGCAACTCACGGACCAGGAGCTCATAAAACTCTTGAGTTCCTACATGCCCCGTGACGTGTGCGTATCAGTCATCTACTCACACCTACGTTTCCTGTGCATGGAGAAATATTAACTTTTGTCTCAAACCGTACTATCTGATGGCATCCACCGTCGCTCAAGATCCAAGGGGGTGGAGCCTGGACCTTTATTCGATCAACAGGAGGTGGCCTTGGAAATTGCTCAAGCAGAAGCCGGAAATGAGTGGGTGGTTTCTGGACTCTGATCGGGCCTTCCTCTCCTGCTTTTGTACACAAAGCTGGGTCGTCCCCACAGGGTTGTCTTCCTTCTCCATGAGGTCCACATGTCTTCCTTGCAGCCTCTGTCATCCTGTGACCTGCAGGTCACGGGAAAACCATAGGGAGGACGCTGCAACATCTGGAAGTTGGGAATGTGTATGGGGGCGGGATCCCGAGAGGGGAGAAGGATGGACCCTGATGGACCGGCCTCCCTGTAGTTCCGAGCCAGGACTTGATCCTGCACGCACCTCGGCAGCACAGCCCTGTCCACTCAACACAGGGTGGGGTTGGATCCGGACTCCAGGGTCCTGTCTCTGTGACTTCACCCTCTGAGCCATCTCCACACAGCTCTTCGCTCCTGATGTGATGGCTCGGGAGGTGGGTCATGTGGAGGATCATACCTGTGATGGGTGGAGGGTTATGGCCCCCATCCCTCTCCCCCTCAAGGTTAGAGAGGCTCCATCACTCGCTTAAGGAGTTCCCTTGGACCAGCAGAGGGTTGATAATCCCAAAGTTACAGCCAGGGCTCATGGTGTGGCATCCCCAGAGTGCCTGGGGGGAAAGGTTTTAAGTGGTTTTCCGAAAAAAAGATGCCACAGGTCAGAGTCTTAAACTACTCCAAGTGAGCATTTGGTCCCTGGTGAGAATTGAAATCCTGGAGGATGAAGCGTTTCCATGAGGTGAGGAAGGGACAGTAGAGTGTGTGGAGGGAGCTTCCAGAATCAAATTTCCATCTGAGCTGATTTCCCTCTGTCACTACCTAAGATTGAGCCACACTGGGATGCATCTCACAGTGAGAGGTGTTAGGGCACAGAAAGGGTGAGGGTGGATGGGTGAAGGGAGAGAGAGAGGAAGGGATGTGCACAGCATCGCCGGAGCTGGTGCCCAGAGGTGCGCACTGGCAACCCAGTGATCTGAGTAATGCAAAGAATTGCAACACACAAAGAGGTGAAAGAACACAAGATTTATTTAAGAAAATATCACTCCCCACAGATAGGAAGCGGGCCTACACCCTAGATGAGTGTGGCCTCATAGCCCCTCAAGCCCCGGCTTAAATCCTTTCCCTTGCAGGTGTTGCAGTCAGGTTGACATGTCTGCCGTGAATTCCCTATTGACCACCTGCAAATGTCTTGGAGACCCTGTGACACAGAGACCCATTAATGTCTGTCCACATTATCATAGCCCCTAGAGAAGGGCGTGACAAGGATTTGAATACTCCTGTACCTTCCTGAATGACATACCTTAGAGCTAATGAGGGTGCACTTCCCCTTATCTTATGTATTCCCAGGAGTTAGCTTCTGGAGATCCTTGACTTCCCTGTAGCTAGGGCCCAATCTCCTCGAAGATCGAATCCCCACCTACTTGCCCTCTGAGTGGTCATAACTTTTGTAATTACAAGTTTCATGACTTCTACAATCCTTGTCCAATGCATGATGTCTTAGACCTTGTAAATTCCCTTTACTCTAGGCAAGCTTGATTGCCACTGTGAAATACCTCTGTCATCAGGAAGTCTGTGTTTCTGAAAGGACAAAGTTGGCAAAGTTAATTTTTTTTTTGAGTTGGAGTCTCACTCTGTCACCCAGACTGGGGTGCAGTGACCGCTCCTGGCCACCGCAGCCTCGACCTGCTGGACTCTGGCAATCCTTCCACCTCAGCCTTCCAAGTAGCTGGAACTACAGGCACATGCTACCACACCCGGCTACTTTTTTGATTTATTGTAGAGATGGGGTCTCACCAAGTTGTCCAGGCAGGTCTCAAACCTGTGGGTTCAGGCAATCCACTCACCTCAGCCTCCCAAAGTATGAGATTAATTTTTATCTAAAGTATGCATTTCTCCATTCATAGCTTCTACTTTCTCATCATTGTGTTGTAAGAGGTGATGAATTGTATGGAACCTGTGTGAAACCTTGTATATTAACTGTGATGCATTATGTGAAATGTAATGAAACTATAACTCTCCCCTAACACTTAATAATTCTTGGAAACCCTGGAAAGAATGCCCAACTTGGAAACCCCAAGTGGCTATGTTAGATAAGTTAACCAGCTTTATCTGCTTCTGTAAACCCCGCTGGCAGTGTGTGAGTGTTGTGCAATAAGCCCCTTTCAAATTCTGGCAGGCTTTTCTGTTTTAATTGTGGCAGGCAGGCCCCTCTTATGGCGGGCTTTGTGTTGTTTGAATTTGAATTATAACAGCCTTGTGGATTAGGCGGGCTTTTGCATATTTAAGAAAGGCCCCAGTCACCATATGGGGCCCTCTCCTAGAGATTTGTTAAGTCTGGTGAGTGGCCCTGGTCAGTCGAACCTGGTAATAAACCTCTCTCTTGGTAAATTGTGAGTCGGTGCCATGAATCAAGCAATCGGACCCCGTATCAGTATCAGAGTTTAAGAACACAATAAAAAATGGCTTCTCAATTTCAGTCTGTCCTTTTAAGAGGGGTCCCCAAACTTGGAGACATTAAGCTACTGAGTCGCTTCAGCCTCTGTAAACTTTAATGGGCCATCAGAGAGTGTGATCTTTCAGGATGAAGATCCATTGTGTTTTCAATTGGGTCAGAACTATTTGTGTTGTGATGAGTGTGTTGAGTGTGGGGGACCCTGTGTCCTGGGCCTGCTTTCTCTAGCTGTGTGCTGCTGACTGTGGGTCCAGGTGAAGCAACATCAGCATTCAGAGGGGAGTTATTTTAAAAGCCTCTTCAGGAGCATGTTAAAACCTGGAAAATCACACTTTCTATTTTCTTTTTTTGAGTCATCCAAGCAGGAATGCAGTGGTTCAATCTCTACCTACTGGGCTCAAGTGATCCCTCTGCCTCAGCCTTCCAACTAGGTTGACTAGAGTCATGTGCTACCATGCTTGACTAATTTCTTGAATTGTTTAAAGATTTAGTCTTCCCAAGTTGCCCAGGTTGGTGTCAAACCTCTGGAATAAGGCAACCCTGTTGGCTCCTCAAAGTGCTGAGATGATAGGCTTAAGCCACTGTGTTCTGCTCAGAATCATGATTTTTTTAGAATGAAACCTAAAATACAGAACTATTTGTTTGCAAAGAGTTTAAGAGGTGATACTTTGCTAAAGAGATTTTTCCATCTCAGGTTCCCAAGCATCTGAAACTACAGGCATGTGCGACCACTCTCAGCTAATTTGTCTCAGCTTTTATAGCTACATGAATGTGCTATATTGCCCAGGTTGACCTCTAACTTCGGGATGAAGCAATCCTCTCCCCTCTTTCTCCCCTCATCACTGACCTAAATAAAAACAAACAAAAAAAATCACACACAACCCAAGAGGGGTATTTAGGATGTAGGTCCCTTGTCGTCTTGTTTTTTCTTTTTTGGGGGGGGTTGGAGTCTCACTCGGTCGCTCAGACTGGAGTGCAGTGGCCGCTCCCAGCCACTGCAGCCTCGCCTGCTGGGCTCCGGCGATCCTTCCGCCTCAGCCTTCCGAGTAGCCAGGATTACAGCTACCACGCCTGGCTGATTTTTTGACTTATTGTAGAGATGAGGTCTCGCTGCCCGGGTGGGTCTCGAACCCGCGGGCTCAGACAATCCAATCACCTCAGCTTCCCAAAGGCGTGGGATTACAGGCTAAGCCACCGAGCCCGGCTATCTTCTTGGTTTTAATGGTCCTCTAAATTAACTCCCATCCCCTGCTCCAACTCCTTGTCTTTACTTTGGCTCTCCCATCAGGCAGAACCAGGTTTGGACTTAGTGTCCATCTGCCAATGACCCTGATGACTTGTCCTAGGAATTTCTACCTGGATATTCCACATCAGGCAACTGCGGGGCTGACACCCACTAGCGCCTGCCCTTGGTCACCTTTCCCCTGCCCCTTCTCCAAGCCTTACCCCCCAGGCCCTTCGAGGACCCCAGACCACGAGCCCTGAGTGGTGGCTTAGGGATTCACAACCCGCTGTTTGCCCAAGGGAACTCCTTAACACTGTGTCAGAACCTCTGTTTAACCTTGGAAGAGGAGAGAGGGACAGGACCAGCACCACAGCCCCTAGCCCCAGGCACACCTCCCCCCCAGGACACTCATGGTTCCTGCACATCCAAAGCACAGAATTGCAAAGAGAGGCTTCAGGTGGGGCGAGGTCACTATGGGGACAGGCCAGACCAAGCTTATGCAGAGGAGACCGGGCCAAGCGGCCAATGGGGATGGGTCAAGAATCAGCAGTGAATGGGAGGTCGGTCTGCCACAGCCGGGTCATCCGTGTCCATCCTGCCTCTCGTTCTCGCACCCATCCCCATACTATCTCCCGGCTTCTGGGTGTCCCAGCATCCTCCCTACAGACTCCCCAGACCTACAGACTCCCCAGACTCCCCGCAGGTCACAGGGCGTAAAAGAAAAAAAGACACGCGGTTCTCTCCAAGATGATCCTGTACATCCACAGGCCCTGGATACAAAAATTCGGTCAGAACCCGGAAGCCGTCCCTTCACTTTCGGCTTCTCTCTGATTGGGCAGTTTCCCAGCTAGCATCCATTGACTGGATAAGGGTACAGACCACTACCCTTCTAATCTTGAGTGACAGTCGATGCGATCAGATGGGGCTGGAGGAGGCAAGAGAAAAAAAAGCATTTTTCTGCTTGTAGCATTTGGAGGTTGTGTTGTATTCTTGCATCGAAATTCGGGGGAGGGGAAGCAGGTGTGGCGCGCATTGTGGAGCATGCTGGGACTCTGGCACAGGAGTGGCGCCTGGGGGCTTGGTCGCTGGGCTGCAGGACTCCATCCCAGTCTGCAGTGACTGCAAAACACTCCAATGTTCCCTGTGAGTAGTTTTAAGGTGCTTCTACATTTTTTGCCCCTGTAGAGTCACATTCACCAGTGACATGTTGGACAAACTGGCCTTTGCCACACCCAAGTACCAAAGAAATAAGTCCCCTTAAAGAATAAAAAGAATAAATAAATAACAAGGTGGAAATAAATAAGTTAACTTCCCTCCGCATTCTCCTGTATAAGAAAAAAGAGTGTAAGCCAGGCTCGGTGGCTCAGCCTGTAATTCCAGCACTTTGGGAGCCTGAGGCGAGAGGATTGCCTGAGCCCATGGGTTCAAGACCCACCCAGGCAACTTGGCGAGACCTTGTCTCTACAATATATCCAAAATT